CAAGGGATTAAGGTGGAAATTGCCATCGTTGTTGTTGCTGCTGTTGCTGTTGCTGCTGCTATCTGTGTTTATGTATAACTAATTGGCTATGTAAATGGCAGCTGAGTGTTTGCCCTGTAAGTGTGTGTGTGTATGTGTTTGTACACCTACACATATGTATGCTGTTAATTACGAGCATAGGCAACCGCAGCTTATAGATGATTGGGCTGGTTTAGAGTGGCTCGAAAGGTTCTAGGGTGGCTCTCTCTCCCCCTTACTCTCTATCTCTATTCTCGGTTTGAGTTTGAGTTTTCGGCCTGCTGCTGTTGCTGCTGTTTGTCAAGGGGGCTGTGGCCCATCATCCGCCCACATTGACATTTCGAGCAGCGTTGTCATGAAACCTTTTGCTAAGGATTATGCAAATCTGCCACTCATCGTGCACTCACTCACACACACACATATACAACTCAAGCACACACACATACAGAAACACTGGCGTGCCTTCATTTACATTTACATTCAGCTAGCTGAAGATTTGCGCATCATAATTTATGCCCCTCAAGCCCCACATTTCCCCGAAAGAGACAGCTAGCTGTGTGTGTGTTGGGAGGGGAAAGAGAAAGGGCGAGGGCGAGACACTTCATTCAGAACGCCTCAAAAATTGCCCACAGTTCTGACAGTCAGGTGAACTCTGACAGAATCAGGAACAGCAGCAACCAGGACTCACTCGGGTTCTTATTCTCTTACAGAGTTTTGGCACTGAGAAAAAATGTTCATAATATGGTCTTTATAATACCAGATATCTGGATAAATACAGCTTTAGGGGTCATCTTTCTTGCATAAATACCTATTCTAAGTGACAAATTAATCCTAATATGAGTCTGTTTTTCTATAATTTATAAAATTCTTCAATCTAAGTTAATAATAATGCAATCTTAAGGAGTGTAAGTATCTATTATACTCAATAAATTCTTTAATGTTACAAAAGTAGAGTTTTCCAGTTCATCCTGATTAATAACCTTTCCCAAATTACATTGACTATAAACGTTGCTCAGAATTCACCTCTTTTATGCCATCCCTTGATAGTACCTACTAAACACTCTCCTAATATTATGTTAGTTTTTCTACAAGTGTTACAACAATATTATTCTTCACACCAAATCTCAAACATTGTTTTTTGGGGCAGTGTAGTTTAGCTCTCGGTCGCTTGCCTTTCCATAATTAAATCATAAAAAATAGTTTTTTAATGAAATTAGTTGGGGGTTTTTTCTGTGCTGTTGTTTTCGTTTTGGCTTTGCTTTGCATGATTTGTCATAATTAATACCGAAGTGGGTGGCGGGACTCCCCAGAGAGAGAGAAAGAGAGTTATCTGACATTTGAGTGCCCTGGTCAACAGTTTTGTTCTACTCCTTTACCTCCATCGTGGCCAAGGAGATGGTGCACTTTTGGCCATTTGCCTGCTGGGGATCGGGGTCCTGGGTCCTGGCCTCCCATAAAATGCTTATGAAAAGCGCTTAAATTTACTAACCTTTTGCGGTGCGAGGGGGGTTGTATATATACCTGGATATAGGTAGATATACATATATATCTGGAAATGCAAACGCCGTAAACACCTTTAAAAGCCAGTCGAAAAGGAGACCGGACTTGGCTGCCAGATCCTGATAGTTGGCTGGGCAATTTCCATGCGGAGGGACTTTACAAAATGTGTAGTTTATTTGCAATTTTTTAGCCAACAAGCTTTACGTTTCTGTTTTGATTCCCACTCTCTCTCCCCGCTCTCGCTTTTCCATCCGAATGTGGAATTTTCGTTATCGCAGGGCTTCCAGCAGCAGCAGCAGCAGCAGCAGCTGCATCAGTTGCAATAAAATCAGTGGCCAAAGGTTGCAGCATCTGAGGTCAGCTGGGTGGCACTTTTCCACTTTTCTACTTTTCCACCTCCCCTAGGCCCTTTTGCATATGTGTGTCTGTATGTGTGTGTGCTTTTCTGTGCTTGTTAAATAGAAAATTTGCAGGGAAAACCTGCGCAGGAAAAATTTGGAATTCGCTCGTTGTGTTTTGCTTATCCTATTCGTCCTTTTTTTTTCTTAGTTCTTAGTTCTTAGTTCTTTTGATTTGTTTTCGCATTTGGAAAATAGTTTTCTGATTTGCATTTAAAAGGTTCTTTTTTGGTGGTGCTTTAAGGGCCCTAGAGGGCCTAAATTTAGGTGTTGTCAGCAAATGGAATGTAAAACTATTTGGGAATATTTTAGGAAGGTTTTTTAGTGAATCAATTACTGAGATACAAATAGTATGTGATAGTTTTAAATTCTAGAAATAGTTTAATTTAATAGATTATACATTTACTTATGACCCTCTTAGTAAGTTTTTCCATTAGGAAAACCATATTCCAAAGCATACACTTCAAAAGGGCATCCGAGAAAGGCATTCATGCACCGCAAAATGAAAATGGAAATGCAGCTAAACAACTATGAAAACATTTGAAAATGCTACTTGAAAAAGATACAATAAACGGGAAAATGGCTTTCGCTGCAAACTGATGAAAAAAAGGTTTCCCTGGCAACATGAAATTGGCTGGCAGGACTGAGTCATAAATTTCTATCTGCTGTTCATATATATATATATATATATATGTATCTAGATAGATATCCTATAGAATGGACGAGGGGACTTTGTTGTGCTGTTGTGGGTGCTACGCATGCAACTATTAATCATATTGAATGGCGCGCCCTGACTTGTCCGGCTAATCAATCTTGCCAGGAGCAATCTCTCCGCGCTCATCTCATCCAAGGCGGAAGAAAAATGGCCGCTAAAGTCATTAACGCCTCGCTGGTCACCTGCCGCCAAAAACAGGGGCAAAAACCGGGAGGTAAACTAAGCCGCCGTTTGCCATTTTGCTATTTTGTTTATGGACCTGGCGAAAATCTCTCTCCCTTCCACTTTACCCATCCATAGGATTTTCCCCAGCTTTTCCCAGCTGCCCAATGAGGCGGCAGGCAGAAGCCAAAGGGGATTAGTTGTAATCAATAACTTGGCCAATGGAAGGGCAGTCTGGGGGAAAACTGGTCTTCTTGGGCTTCTGTTTTGTTTGCCTGTCGAAAGTTTCTCCGCACAGCTTATGGCCGAGCTTATACACTCGCAGCCAAGTTATTATTATAATTTCCTTTGCCAATGCGGATTAATTGAAAAGTTTTCCATTAAGAATTCGCGCTTGGTTAAATCGCCCGCCGTCTTTTGTTTCACCTTTTCCCATATAATATGTATGGGAATATATATATATATATATATATAGGAGATTTGCGTGCGATGTTAGTATCTTCACTATTTGATCGTTATGGATTTTGACAGTTTCGCTGGGCATGATGAAAATTACTTAAAAGCATTTCGTTACCCAGCGCTGATTTGATTGATGGCCGTTTATGGATGCTTCTCCCTCGCTCGTCATTATATTCGCATTATCAAGTGCTATACCTATATATAATATATATACATATAGAAATATATAGCCTTAGTGGGCGGGGCAATGGAGCATTGCAAATGGCAGTTGACGTCTTGCGGCGAGGAGCTGACAAAAAGTTGCGCCAATTTATGTCAATTATCGGAAGCTTTACCTGAGGAGTTGAATTTCTGTTGGATGAGATGGAGGGGTGGAAAATTTCGGATGGGTTGCTGGGAAATCGAGAAAAATCCTCGAAAATCCCCTTGAGAGCGGGCTGCGTAATTTGCAGGGGAAAAACAAATAATGGCACTTTTAGCTGTTACCCGATACAGCTACTTTTTTCTCTTTCGTTGTTTGGAATCATTCAAATTTGTCACTGGGTGACTGGGAAATTTGATAATATTTCAGGGAGGCTGGCATCCTTTTTTTCCTCCTCAGCAGGATATTGGATTGAAGTCTGAGCTATTGGGGGATAAATATTGGCTGGGAATTGAATTTCCAAACTGCTTTCAGGGCAATCTTGTGACACCTTTCCGGCTAGTTATTATCCTATTTAAAAGCAATTTAGAGTTGTTGGTATTAATGGTATGTTACAAGACTCAAAGTAAGGTTTAACTCTTTACGTTACGAGACTCAAAGTATGGTTTAACACTTTAATCTTTAAGACCTCTCATATTCGCTTATCCTTAGCCACTTCAACACTTTCCATATCTACCAAGCACAGCGAGCATTTAATTCTTAAACTCTTCCCGACATGTTCTATCCTCTTGGAAAATCCCCTTCACCATCCGATAGCACATCGTTAATGAAAATCCGTGTTTGGGGCTTTTCATGTTTTCGTTTTTTTTCTTGCGCTTCGACAGGATCAAGAGAGTCGCTCATTAAAATCGGCGGTAGGAAGGCAGAAGAGCGTCTAACAAATCGATTTTCGTTTAGTATCGTAATCAACAACACAGGATTTTTGTGCTCGTGCTAAAAATTTGTTTTTTGCGCTATAACAAGTCTGGCAAAGCCCCCGTTTCGTATCGTTTCGTTTCGGCCTTTTGCCCAACATGGCTGAATGGAGAACTTAAAGAGCACTCGAACGGCACTCAGCCGCAAACACACACACACACATCTGAACACTCGATATGCATATGTGTGTGTTTAAGTGGAGTTCCTTTTTTTTCCAGGGGGCGAAGTGGAGTCCTGGGCTTTGCAGTACTTGTCAAGATTGAATTTGGTTCGAATTTTTTTAGAGGTTTTTCTCTTTCATTCGCTGGCTTTCTTCTTTTTTTTTTTTTTTGGCGTTTTTATTGATCAAACAAAACGTAGCAAGTGGCAGCCAGTGAAGGTGTCACTGCTTACGGCAAGAAAAAAGAATAAGAATGAAAGAAAAAAATATATATACAAATTTAGCTGAACATTGTTGGGGAAACACGCGCAGTGCGAATAGATTGCATGATTTGCTCCACTGGCTGTCATTCTGTTTTTTATGATTATTATTTTGCTTCATTTCGTTTAGCATTTTGGCATGTGACTGGATATAGTTATGGATATTTGGGAAATGAATATATATGGCAATAGAAGGGAGTTCTTCACTTACCGGACCAAACTGTTCGAAGTAACTTTTGACATCCTCCAGTGTGGTGGGCGCCGAGAGGCCGCCCACAAAGATTTTCTTCGTTCTCGTCACCATCTGCAAAAGTCATGAAAAGCACAAGGAAAACGGGTTAATATATACATATATATATATATATATAGTATAGTATATATAGTAAGCGAGTAATGAGCGAAAAGGTTAAGTTGGGCGGTATTTAAATATGCATTTTATACGAGGCTTTACGCGGGTTACTCCGAAAGTTATGACCCCTTAGACGGCTGGCAGCCTGGGGACTTGAGGCTTCGACCTTCGACCCCCCAACTTCCCGTCTTCCTTCCCAAGTTCCTGTAACTTATGGCCACCAACTTTCGCCATGAGTCGTTCGACCATTTTGTGCATTTTATGTACTACATGCATGAGGCCCTTATTCTCTTTCTCTCGCCTGAAAATGTCAGTGTGTTTATGTGTGTGTGTGTAATGTGTGTGTGCAGCTGGCATTTTTAAGCTGACAGTTTCAAGTGCCAACTTTACGCAGTTAGCGCAGCAGAAGCAGCAGCAGCAGCAACAGCAGCAGCCGTCGAGCACATAGCACCGAGCACCGAAAATGATGGCGAGACAAGGACGAGCAGGCTGCCTCAGGCTTGCATATGAAGGTGCACTCGGAAAATGCCTGCTTAACTTAGGGAAACACTTTGAAAATGAAGGACTTTACTAATCTTGGCAATAATAGTTGTTTGTATTTTATGAATTATAATTATCTGTGTATATTATTGCTTATTAATATTGCTTCTTAGTTTATCTAAAGAATCCTTTTCCTGAATAAAAACGTTTAAAGATGTTACCCGAGTGCTCTTGTTTTATTTTTATAAATACGTCAAAGATACATATGTATTATTAACCTCAATATAATACCAATTTTAATCTATTTTGATTAAAATTTTCCCATTACTTTTTCGCTGACAATCTCTTACACTCAAAAAGCACAGGAAACGCTAGAGCTATCGCTTATCAAACATTTTCCCCGCAGTGCACTCATGTGTGTTAGCTGCTGTCTGTCGGTAAGTCCCTGTGCGTGTGTGTGTGCGTGTATGCCTATGTGTGCGCTGTGCAACGCCAGCCTTTTTAGCCCGCAGGCAAGCGTAAACTGTTAACGTTAAGTGACGGCAGTTAAGGCACAGTGGGCCCATCGCTGAAACCCCACCAATTTTAATTTGTATAATTTTTAAAAAATTACCCACAAGCTAAGTAAACCCCAGAGACCTCGGCTAAGTTCAGAGGCTGTCACGGTCGGATAGGAAATGCCAAGGGGGGCGTGGCATCGTTCTTGACAGGATCAACAGTGGAAGAGCAGGAGGAGCAAGAGGAGGCAGTTGGGGGCCCATGGTTGGAGGGACCCTCGAATAAACCGGATGAAGCTGGTGACGCTGATTGCACTGACGCTTGCAAGCTGCAATTTATGAGCACGGCACAGACAACAGGGGATGGGAGGATACCACCCACCCCCTGCGAACAACCCTATATAAGGGAGACCCTGTATGGCGGAGGCGATGTGGGATATGTCCGTTAAGGAAGCTAACGATATGTAACAGCGGTGCTGATGTTTCTGCAGTGCCAGCAGTAAAATTCATACAATGTCGTAAAATTAAAACACTTGTGCTGTCGCACTCGCTCGCACAGATAGCTAGATAGATGGAGAGGGAGCGAGAGGGGAAGAACTAGATAGACAGAGCGAGGGGAGGCTGCACTCCGCGGGCGTTCCCTCTAACAATTTGCAAAAGCAAAAAACGAGCAGAAATCAAGTTGAGAGTGCGCTGCAAGAAAGTAACTGTAACAACATGACGTCCGAGACAACGTTGAACCCAAGCACCCAAGCACCACCCCCCTCGATGCACCGCCCATGTGGCTCATCATCACCAGCCACAAAATGGGTACAGAAATTGCAGCGTTGTTAAAAAGCGATTCAAACTGCAGTGGCCAGCACTTTGAGTGTGTGTCTGTGCACTAGCAAAAATTATGATTCCCAATCTCTAGCGATTTCAAATCACTTAAAAAGTTCTTTAGGAAGGCTGTAAATAATAAATTTGAATAAATAGTTAAAGGAAGTCTGTTTTTGCAGATGTTGAGATGATTTAAAAGACTTGTAATTGTAATTATCTTTTATTCCTTTTAAAATATGAGTAATAGAAGTGTTAGGAAGGCTGGGTAAAGCCTTAGGAAGATTAGTCCTAATTTTGTACCCCCAAGGAAAGCAGCAACTCGAAAAGAAGACAATGAACCAAAATTGTTTTCCCTGTGCGGTTACAGGACCATTTTACCATCAAACCGCAAACGCACTCCGTCCTGCACTAATCACTCCCCGAATGGAGCTACTTAAACTAATAAACTGGAGCCGGGAGTTTGATTGCTCGGCCAATGTCGGCAATGTCATCATCAAATATAAATGAACCAGTTTGGGAACACGCCCAGTGCTGATAGCGGGGCATGAATCAAAAACAAAACACACCCAAAAACCGAACCGAAAGCGGCGACCTCAAGACAAATACAACGGCGGCTATGAGTCGAAACTGGGGTCGGGGAAACACGGATATCCAGGATACAAGGATACGCAGAGATATCCATATACTCAGATACTCATATACTCGGATACAAATGGCACCACACACGCATACTAACGAAGTGACACGGCATTTTAACGGCCACCGCAGCGGAGCACAGATTAGGAATGTCAATATTAGCCACAAGGACTGCGATGAGCCGCCGGATGTCCTGCGAGTGGGTGGGGCCAACAACTGGCACGATGTTTGGCCATGGCCATGTCTTTTCAGCCGGGTAATGCCGAAAATTTGACAAATGACGTCAGGAGTGGGCGTGATCAAGCGGTGGGCGTGGAAATGGGGGAAGAAAGGACACACGAAAGCGCAAGAAGGCGGGCCTGGTTACAATGCAGTTGACAAGAAAGTCGCCCTTTAGATGGATGTCTATGGACAATAGAAGTTTTGTTCAGAGAAAGGGGTAACTATTAGAATATTTTACCCTTTAGAATGAATGTACTGGCTCCGTTAATACAAAATGCCATTACATAGATTAAAATCAATTTCTAAGTCGTAAACAAATACAAGTCTGTGCACTTTCTCTATGAAATGTCTTTTTTAAGCCAAAATAGATGCAATAGTTTTAAGAGAGATGAAAGCGTAATCCCCCTTTATTGCTTTCAATGAAAGTAAATTAAATTACTTTTGTTGCATTGCCTTCTTAATCAATCAATTTAATCTAAAGCCATCCACAGATCAGATGAGTAAAAGGAAACAACACCCCTCCACCGACCAAAACAAGAGACAATCAATCAATTCAACACCTAGTCAGCTTATTTAATAAACAGATTTACGCCTTTCTTTCAGCATTAGGGATTTTAATGAGGCGTAGCATATAAATAGGAAAATACAATAAAGTCGACACTTTATCATGGCCTTTCATCGAAGCCAAAGACGGTTGACAAGTCGCATGCATATTTCATTCTGACGTAGCTGCTATCGATAACCCCATGGATAAGTTGATGCTCATCTTACTCCAGATTACATCCGTGCAACAAGGACTGAGCGGGGATGAAAAGCGATGCCGACATGGCCATCATCTCCATCATCTCCCTGGGAGACGCCGATGTCTGTTATGTTAGTGGGAAAGGCCAAATCAATTTAACACTTTCAACTAAATTATTCATTTTGCATAATAATTTTCAAATCTGTCAAAAATGTACACACATACACACACATTTATACAGGATTTTCGAGGCGTCTGCACTTTCACACGCTGCGGAATGGGAGGCGGGGGGGGGGCATAGTATTTCGAGGAGGCGGCGTTTGCGAAACGCTTCCCAAAAAGCACTCAAATAATTCCCGGGCGTAAGCTAAACCAGCGCAAAGTTGCCGAGAGCTCACAACAATGGCAAACGGAAATTGGGGTAGGAGGTTCTTCTGTAAGGCAATGAAAATGGGTGGGTTTTTGGGAAAATGGAAAACCCTTTAACCGTGCGTAGGCTCCATGCGACGTCCGCCGAGCGTCGCAAATTCTGTTAAGCGAAAATTTCATCAACGGGGCAGAATTTTCATTCGCTATTCAGACGCTCCTGCCACCTGCTTTCCCCCCGTTCTCTCCTTTAGCCAATCCCTCGCCGTCGCCATCGTTCGTTGTCAAAATGAAAGGAAAATGTCTCATAAATCCTTTTAATATTAAATGAGCTCGTTCTACGCGACAGCCCCAACCCGAAAAACCCAGGAAAAGTGGGCGGGGGGAAATGGTGGAAATTCGGGCAACGCACACACTTAAAATTATGTGGCTAATGGGAGCAACTTGTCTGGAAATTGCTCGCGGAACTGCGGAGATGTCTCGAATCGGCGACACATGTTCGGTGGGAAAGCAGCAGGGGCGGTAGAGTTGAGGGACCGGGGCACTCTGCCAATTGTCATTAAATGTAATTTTTAAACCTGTTAGCGCATGTGTGCCATAAAATGTGAGGTTAAAAAGGGTTTTTCTTTCGGGCCTCCCTAGGATGTCCTTTTTTCTGTGTACTCGTATATGCCGCCATTTGGTTTTATTGTGAAATTAGTCGGCAAAGCGGGTTTATTAAAGTTCGCCCCGAAATTCCTGATGCGTTGCCTGAATTTCCAGCCTGGGCAAAAGGCAATGGCAACGGGTTAAGGGGTGATTTTCAACGACAACAATTTGTAACATTTGCCGCACTTCCCGCAAGAATTTTAGCCGCCGGAGGGGGCGGTTCGGATGGAGAAACCCGAAAAAAACATGGCAAAACGGGATTGGTTGTAACCCACTCGAAAAAAGCTCCAACATCATTCAAAGTGACAAATTATCCATGCAAATTTTATACAAAATAAAAGGGGGCCTTGCTGGCAGAACGACCGCCGCCGTGGGAAAAAGTGTTGCATACTTATGAGTGTTGGTAAAGAGCTCCGGCCTGAAATATGAGCATTGATAGAAAGTTTGACAAATGCCAAAGGATGCCATTTCAGGATAAGACCAGGGTTGCTGATGGACGGAATATATATGGAGGCTGCTTATTCAAGCATTATCCTTGTTCATTT